TTGCTATCAGTTACTGCAATTAGGAATTAGAAATCTTTATTGGGGTTTTTAAGATAGATCCATATCTGTAGTAAGGACCAGAGCCTGAATAGCATCACCGTCAGTGTAAAAGGCTTAAATAATATTTTAAAAGCAAAACAAGAAAATTCCAAATTTTGGGATGTCACCAGAGCAGAAATAGAAGGGAAATCTTCATCAGGGTACCAACCAGGGATTCCCTCACTTTGTAGAGATTTCCTCTCAGTTCCTGTTGTGGCTATAGGACAGGAAATGAAAGGAAAGCTCTCCAATGGGACACAGATGGCCAAAAAAATAATGGGTTATAACCCTCTCTTAATCAATTTTTTTTTTGTTCAACCAGCAGGTTGAAAAAAAAAATTGACCTGATTCCCACCTCCACACATTCGATGTAGATGGGGGAATCGTCCCTGCTGAGCTATTGTATTTTGATAGAGTGGAGACATCCCCGCCATAAGAATACACTGATCGTGTAGTGTTGCAGGCTAAAACCTGTTGTGCTGACCAAGCTGAGAAAATCGGCTTTACAGATGTTGATTGGTAGGTTGACTTCTGTATAATCTTCCTGCCCATATATAGTTTGAAATTTGGCTGGTTGCTGCTGAACTGGCCGAATTTCAATCCATGTATGGCTGGCCAAAATTAAATCAAAGTTTTGCCTTTAGTTCTACTTTAAAGAGAACCTGTACTTTCCCCATTTTAAATGGTAACATTGAAGCCTGCATTTACTGTTTCAGCTTCAATTAAATTTCATTGATATATGGCAGCTTTGCTGCTCAGGGTTGTTTATTATTATTATTATTATTATTATACAGGTTTTATCCAGCGCCAACAGTTTGCACAGCACTGTACAAAATGAAGGTAGACATTACAGTACCATTTGGTACAAGAGGAAACAGAGGGCCCTGCTCGTTAGAGCTTACAATCTAGGAGGAAGGGTTGAGTGATACAAAAGGTAATAGTTGTGGAGGGATGAGCTGATGGAGGAAATAAATGGCAGTTTACTAGGTAGAAGCAGGGTAGGTTTCTTTAAAGAGAAAGATTTTCAAGGATCGTCTAAAGGTGAATAGATTAGGAGACAGCAGGACAGATTGGGGTAGGGAGTTCCATAGGATGTGAGAAGCTCTGGAGAAGTCCTGCAGGCGGGCATGGGAGGAGTTGACACAGGAACTAGAGAGCAGAAGGTCTTCAGAGGGTCGAAGAGAGCGGTTTGGTTGATATTTTGAGACCAGGTTGGTGTAGCTGGGGGCAGAGTTGTGGATGGCTTTGTAAGTAGTTGTTAGTATTTTAAATTTTATTCGTTGGGTGAGTGAAAGCCAGTGGAAGGATTGGCAGAGAGGGGTAGCAGACACTGAGCGGTTGGTAAGGTGGATGAGCCTGGCAGCAGTATTCATGATGGACTGGAGGGGGGATAGCCTATTTAAAGGTAATACATGTTTAATATTTGTTCATCTCTATATATTAACAAACATATTCTGACTGTGCACTATAATATATTTTAAATGGCTGAGGGATAGGATAACACTTTTAAGATTGTAACGTGTGGCCAGCTAAGGCTTGGTTTAAACTCTACAAGCTGTTTTTTTCAGTCTGAGGCAGACAGATTTTTCCCATCAGGTAATCTCCATTTATTCAGATCCTTAAAAAGACTGGACTTCTTAACCAAAGATCATCATGAAAACATACATATGTCTGTGGCTCTGGGGTGGGGTTGCACCAGCTCCCAGTGCTGGAGTATTATTATTATTACACAGTATTTATATAGTGCCAACAGTTTGCTCAGCGCTGTACATTACAATGGGAGACAATACATGAGAAAGTACAGTAGCAATACAATAAAATACACGAGGGGTTCGAGGGTCCTGCTCCTTGGAGCTTACAATCTAGGAGGGAGGGGAGAGTGGTACAGGAGGAAATAGCTGTGGGGGATGGAGTGGTGGGGAAAGCGGAGGAGATCAGCAATTAGGTGAGGTAGGCTTCTCTGAAGAGATGGGTTTTCAGGGTGCGCCTAAAGGTGAGGAGGGTAGGTGACAGTCTGATGGATTGGGGTAGTGAGTTCCAGAGGATGGGGGAAGCCCTGGAGAAGTCCTGGAGACGGGCATGAGAGGAGGAGACCAAAGAGCTGGAGAGTAGGAGGTTTTGTGAGGAGCGGAGAGTGCGTTTTTGGTGGTAGATGGATATCAGGTCGGTGATGTAGTTTGGGGCAGTGTTACGAACAGCTTTGTACGTCAATGTTAGTATTTTGAATTTTATGCGTTGGGCAATCAGAAGCCAGTGGAGGGATTGGCAGAGGGGGATGGCGGATACGGAGCGGTTGGTAAGGTGGATGAGTCTGGCCGCAGAATTCAGGATAGATTGAAGCGGGGATAGCCTGTGTTGGGGTAGGCCGGCGAGGAGGAAGTTACAGTAGTCAAGTCGTGATATGATAAGGGAGTGAATTAGTTGCTTTGTAGTTTATGGAGTTAGGAACGTGCGTATTTTGGAGATGTTGCGGAGGTGAAGTCTGCATGAATTTGTCAGCGATTGGATCTGGGGCTGGAAAGACAGATTGGAGTCTAGAATGACACCTAGTACTCTGGCTTGCGGGGTGGGACTGATGGTGGCATTGTTGTCGTGATGGAGAGGTCAGGGGGGGGGGGGGGGGGGGGGCGCGGGCTGGGGGGGAAAACTAAGAGCTCGGTATTAGCAAGGTTTAATTTGAGGAAGTGGAGTGACATCCAGTCTGATATGTCGTTCAGAAGGCTAGTGATTCGGGCGGAGACTGGAGGAGTAGAGAGATAGATTTGCGTGTCATCGGCATAGAGATGGTAGTTGAAGCCGTGGGAGTGTATCAGTTGACCAAGGGAGGAGGTGTAGATGGAGAGAAGAAGGGGTCCAAGGACAGAACCCTGGGGGACCCCAACAGAGAGGGGGAGTGAGGGGGAGGTGGCAGCATTATAGGTACCACTGAAGGAGCATTGAGATAGATAGGAAGAGAGCCAGGAGAGAGCAGAGTCTCTGAGGCCAAAAGAGTATAGTCTTTTGAGGAGGAGGGGGTGGTCGACCATGTCGAAAGCCGCAGAGAGGTCGAGGAGTAGTAGCACTGAGTAGTGGCCATTGGCTTTGGTGGTTAGCAGGTCGTTGGTGAGTTTGAGTAGGGCGGTTTCGGTGGAGTGTATGGGACGGAAGCCAGATTGTAGGGGATCAATGAGGTTGTTGTCGGTGAGGTGGGAGCTTAGGCGATTATAGGCTAAGTGCTCCAGGAGTTTGGATGAAAATGGCAGCAGGGAGATGGGTCGATCTGTAAAGTCATTCTGATTTCTCCTCGAAAAGGAGATCTTAAAAAGTCATATTAATTATGTCCACTGGGAAGATATATCAGAAATTCATTCTGCTAAAGTAAGGTAGAAAAAAAATTAAAAAAAGGTTTGGCTGGACGTCTACTTCAAATGTAGAAATTTCTTTTTGGCACCCAAAGTAACTTCCTCTGCTTAAACCACCTCTGTAACATAGAACATTTTCTTGTTTTACAGGTTCTAACCCAGCTTAGAATTTCATGACAAGCTATAAGTAAGCTTATAGGGGATGACTGAGAAAAAAGTTTGTGGCCCCCAACTGTGCTGAGAAAGGCTGCCTCTTTTTATGACTCACAGTTGCCGGTAAAAGCTTGGACATTAAATCATACAGTGCCCAACTATCAAAACAGATCAACTGTACTGCCTATGAATTTTGCCTGCCCTTGGCCTTATGGTGCCCACAAACTATAGACTGGAAATGTGCAATAATTTAACACCTTTTTTCACTTCAATCCTTGACATCATATAGAGAAAAATGATTTCTTGAACAGCTAAGCTGACCATACACCAGTAATATTTTGTTAGAAAATGTTCATTTTGGAACATTCCTTCAATATTCTAATGGTTAATAGGGTCAAATCGATGATCATTTATGACTGTAGTGATTAAAAAAATCAAAGGAGAAGGATGGAAACGTTCACATTTAAAAAAAAAAAAAAAAATCATATTTTTTTAAACTGCGAGAACCCTTTCACACTGGCAGGGGATCTGTGAGCTGATCCCCTTCTGATGGGAGCAGAGCAGATTGGATTACAGATCCATGTCTGTTCAGTTTATGCAGAGTAGACCAGGACACCCTGCTCTGCTCTATGGGCAGCTGGGAGTAAACAGAGTCCTTTGTCCATTTATACCTGGCTGCCTCTTATCTGGTCCACCCAAATGGAAAAGGATGTAGTCCTCTAGTTTTTTAGTATGCCTGATTGGACCCGGAAGTTGGCGGGTGTAAACACAAGAAATTTTCCTTCCATATATGTATTACCACTGCCCAAGGTAGAGAGACTCCCAATATCCAAGCACAACTCCTCCTGTAGGTGCTAGCCCAGCTCGTGTGCTGCATAGATGAGAACAAAGGACGTCCGATCAGCTGCACTCCAAACAATTCGTTTTATTGAACCAAGATAAAACCAGTACAGACAGTGGAAATACAATGGGGGACTGGCAGGTAAACGCTTTTCACGCTAAAGACAGCGCTTATTCATTACCCCATATTTCCTTCCACCAGTACATAGGAATGCATTAACCTTCTTATCAGATCCACCTGAAAAACTGGCAAGTGGACCTGATGGAAACTCCTGTGGGTTTGGTTCAGGAAAACTCATACATATTGAAATGAAACCTGTTAAATACATCTGGGTTTCCATTCAATTATCAGGTCTAGTCGATATTATAAGGCCATTTGAATTAAATACCATATTTTTTTGCTCCATAAGACGCACTTTTTCCTCCCTAAAAATGGGGGGAAATATCTGTGCGTCTTACGGAGCAAATATTAAAGGGAACGGCCTGGTATTCCCCCCGTCGCCGCCGTGTTAGAATACCAGGCCGGCCACTCTGCTCTTCTGTGCAGCAGAACCTGCTCCTCGGTCCTACCTGTTCCTCATCATCTTTAGTGTGGGAACTCGGCTGTGACAGCTTGCGGCTTCACAGCTGGGTGCCCACTGCTCATTTGCGAGAAGCACTGCGCTTTTTGAATGGCCCCGTAGTCTTCTGAGACCTGTCATGTGTCTCAGAAGACTATGGGGAGAAAGGCAATCGAAGCGGAAGTGGGAGCAGGTACCTGTCAAATTCGGGTACCCGCTCCCCAAAGGTCTGCAGTCTCTGGTCATCTCCTGTAGTAGCTCCGCATGTGTGCAGTCTCTGGTCATCTCCTGTACTATGTCCGCAGTCTCTGGTCATCTCCTGTACTGTGTCCGCAGTCTCTGGGTCATCTCCTGTACTGTGTCTGCAGTCTCTGGTCATCTCCTGTACTGTGTCCGCAGTCTCTGGGTCATCTCCTGTACTGTGTCTGCAGTCTCTGGTCATCTCCTGTACTTTGACCGCAGTCTCTGGGTCATCCCTTGTACTATGTCTGCAGTCTCTGGTCATCTCCTGTACTGTGTTTACAGTCTCTGGTCATCTCCTGTACTGTGTCCGCAGTCTCTGGTCATCTCCTGCACTGTGTCCGCAGTCTCTGGTCATCTCCTGTACTGTGTCCACAGTCTCTGGTCATCTCCTGTACTGTGTCCACAGTCTCTGGTCATCTCCTGTACTTTGTCTGCAGTCTCTGGGTCATCCCTTGTACTATGTCTGCAGTCTCTGGTCATCTCCTGTACTGTGTTTGCAGTCTCTGGTCATCTCCTGTACTGTGTCCGCAGTCTCTGGTCATCTCCTGAACTGTGTCCGCAGTCTCTGGTCATCTCCTGTACTGTGTCTGCAGTCTCTGGTCATCTCCTGTACTGTGTCCGCAGTCTCTGGTCATCTCCTGAACTGTGTCCGCAGTCTCTGGTCATCTCCTGTACTGTGTCTGCAGTCTCTGGTCATCTCCTGTACTGTGTCTGCAGTCTCTGGTCATCTCCTGTACTGTGTCCGCAGTCTCTGGTCATCTCCTGTACTGTGTCCGCAGTCTCTGGGTCATCTCCTGTACTGTGTCCGCAGTCTCTGGTCATCTCCTGTATGGTGTCCGCAGTCTCTGGGTCATCTCCTGTACTGTGTCCGCAGTCTCTGGGTCATCTCCTGTACTGTGTCCGCAGTCTCTGGGTCATCTCCTGTACTATGTCTGCAGTCTCTGGTCATCTCCTGTACGGTGTCCGCAGTCTCTGGTCATCTCCTGTACTGTGTCCGCAGTCTCTGGGTCATCTCCTGTACTGTGTCCGCAGTCTCTGGGTCATCTCCTGTACTATGTCCGCAGTCTCTGGTCATCTCCTGTAGTACATCCGCAGTCTCTGCAGTTCTGAATTTCCAGACAAATGTTTGAACAAAAGTCCAACCGTGTATGGTCAACTTTAGGAGGATATCAGAGGGGTGACTCTGCTGCTAGTGCATCTACTGCTTGCGGTTTGTCAAAATCACCAGCAGCAAAATAGCAAAGAGGCTTGTCCCTATAAAATTGCTGCCTATGCAGCACAATGCACTGCCATCACTAGCAATGGAGTCATCGGTGCTTGGACCAGCAACATGTTGCTGCATTTAGTTACGGAGGGATTGGTTCCATGGGGCAGACAGGCAGCCTCTTTAGCCATCCTGCCACAAGTGATTTGTCTCTAGCCCATCTGACATCAGCCTTATTAAGATAATAACTTATCCAGTAGTAAAAAGTCACTGCTCCAGATTGCCCCATCTTAGTGCTAGCCCCACCTTTCCATACAAAGATGTGCTGATCTGGTTCGCAACTGCAATATACTTCACATAGAAAACTGGATGACTGCACTCAAATGTATGAAAATTCCCAACACGTTTATTAATAATCCATCAATTCAGTCACATCAGAGCTTCAACAGGCAATGAGCAGCTTTGACACATTTCAAGTTACATGATCTTAATAATACAGTAACCATATTATTAAGCGCATGTAGTGTGACACGCATCAACAATGTTCCCTGGCTGTTGAAGCTCTGATGTGTCTGGATTGATAAACTATTATTAAACTCCTTTGGAATTTTCATACATTTGAGTGTAGCCATCCACGTTTCTATTAGTAGGATAATTACTTACCTTTTGTATCACTTCACCTTCCCTTTTTGATTGTAAGGTCTTGAAAGCAGAGGGCCCTCTTGTATTGAATTTTATTGTAACTGCACTGTCTTTCTGTATTTTGGAAAGCAATATGCAAACTGCTGGCGCTATATAAATCCTGTATAATATTAATTTAATTGAATAAAAAAGTAATGATTAATTTAAAACATACTGTTGCAGATGTACAGTACAATTAAAGTTGAATCTAAAAATTGCAACATAATGAGGAGAAATATTAACAAAATAATTTAAATCAAGTGCAACAAATCAGTGTAAAAACCTTCCAATAAAAAGTGCAGACTCATTCATCAATAAAGTGCAAAAAAATCAATGTGAAATCTTCACTAATTAAATAAAGTGCAAAGTTAGATAAGCTGCAATACTCTATATGTAAAGTTCTATGCTAAATTTCTGATTAATAAAAAATATATGCAAAAACAGTATTTTTCACTTTATTTTTCACTTTCTTGTCCAACACTGTTCGTTAAATCAGCGATTCAGCCTTCTCTCTTAGATTGTAAGCTCTATCGAGCAGGACCCTCTGATTCTTCTTGTATTGAATTGTAACTGTACTGTCTGTGCTTATGTGGAAATATGCTGCACAGACTGTTGGCGCTATATAAATCCTGTATAATAATATATCAAAGTCCCAGAGAGTAAAGTGCAAAGTGATGACACACAATTACACTTCAGTGAAAAAAAGCTTGAAAAAATGCTAATTTCCACTGTTCAGGTGTTTTCCATTCAAGTCTATGGGGACAAAACGCTCAGATCTGCCTGAAAAGTAGCACAAGTACTTTTTTGAGCAAAAGGCGTTTTGCTACAGGCATTAGAATGCTCAAGCATGAACAGGGACCATTAGAAATAATGGGATTTTCCTTGTTGAGCATTTCTGGGAGTCGAGCTTCGAGTTAAATAAAACACATGTGAATGGGGTCTTAGGAGATATTAGAAGATATTTACAGTACCTAGAGATAAGGCTTCATTCACACTGAGCTGAGCTTTTTTCAATCCTTTTTTATGTGATTTTGAGCATTTTTTTTAGCAGATTTGCAAATATTATAGGTGTTTTTCAGGTGTGTTTTTCATTTAGGCATTTTTGCTATAGCCATTAGAAATAACTGCTGTTTGAGATGAAAATGCCTGAAAAAACACTTGCAAAAAAGCTTGAAAAAAGCTCATTCCCACTGTTCAGGTGTGTTCCCATTCAACTCTATGGAGACAAATTGCTCAAATCTGCCTGAAAAGTAGCACAAGTACTTTTTTGAGCGAAAGGTGTTTTGCTACAGGCATTAGAACGCTCAAGCGTGAACAAAGACCATTGGAAATAATGGGATTTTCCTTGTTGAGCATTTATGAGCATCAAGCTTCAAGTTAAAAAAAAAGCATGTGAAAGGGGTCTTAGGCAATATTAGGAGACATTTACAGTACCTACAGGTAAGGCTCTGCACATCGGTCCGCAAAACGCGGTGCGATGTGCAGAATCGGATCACATAGGTGTGAATACCCATGCAATCCGATTCTAGTGCAGACCCAAAAAAGGGTCCTGCACCTTTTGTGTGGCTCCAATCGCACCGCACACAAATTGCATGTGATTTGGAGGATCAGATCCTCCAATATTGGTCTACTTTGCGTGGAATCCACCAAAGGAGACCAATGCTGATGTTCAGACCATTTCTTAGTACAAGTATTTATCCAAACACTAAAAGGCGTTTTCAGCTGTTTTTCATTTAGGCGTTTTAGCTATAGCAATGAGAAATAACTGCTGTTTGAGATGAAACAACACTTGCAAAAAAGCTTGAAAAACGCTCATTCCCTCTGTTCAGGTGTTCTCCATTCAACTCTATGGGGACAAAACACTCAGATCTGCATGAAAAGTAGCACAAGTACTTTTTTGAGTGACAAATGTTCTGCTACAGGAATTAGAACGCTCACAGGGACCATTGGAAATAATGGGATTTTCCTTGTTGAGCATTTCTGAGCATCGAGCTTCAAGTTAAAAAAAAATGCGTGTGAACGGGGTCTTAGGAGATATTAGGAGACATTTACAGTACCTACAGGAAAGGCTCCATTTAGTGGTATCTTGAGCATGGGCGGACTGACAACTCATGGGGCCCCCGGGCAATAGGGGATCATGGGGCCCCTGTGTCCTTGCCTAAACTCAAAAAAGCCTATGAAAAAGGTACCAGGGGCATCTCATGGGGCCCCCTACTGACCCCGGGCCCTCGGGCTGTGCCTGAGTTTCCAATTGGTCAGTCCGCCCATGGTCTTGAGGCAGGTGCAGGGGGTGCGGTCCGGGTGACACTGACCGCACAGGGTGACACTGGACCCGCTCCACAAAAAAGGTAAGCTGTAAAGCAAGCCAATGATCCCCGCAGGATGGATCCGATCCATCCTGCGGGGATCGTCAGCTTTCTTTACAACTTACCTTTTCTTGGAGCGGGTCCGGTGTCACCTCGTATAGATTGCATGCCGAAGATCCTCGTCCAACCTATACGGGGTGGCACCGGACCCGCTCCAAGAAAAGGTAAGTTGTAAAGAAAGCCAACGATCCCTGCAAGATGCATCAGATCTGCGGATTGAGCATATTGAATCGGATTCTGATCCATTATGCTCAATCCGCACATCCAATCCATTCTGCAGGGATCATCGGAGGGGGTGTCACCAAGTGTTACTGCACCGGGTGACACCTACCCTAGGGACGCCTCTGGCTCCATTCACAATGAGCTGAGTGTTTTTCAGGTGTTTTTTTTCAGCTGTTTTTGAACATTTTTATTTAGCAGATTTGTAAATATTATAGGCTTTTTTCGGGTGTTTTTGCTTTAGGAGTTTTTGCTGTAGCCAATGGGTCCTGCACCTTTTTGGTGCAGGTGCGTTGCGATTAGAGCCATACAAAATGTATGGCTCCAATCGCACCGCACACAAATCGCATGTGATTTGCACAGGAATGTGGTGCGGTTCCTGTGCGAATCACATGATGTACTGCACCGCATTAGTGTGAACCTATCCTAAAGAAGATCCAAAGAGCTTTCTTATAAATGCTCCTATTGGTATATCAACAGAACACTCCAAATGGATCAGATCCTCCAAAATTGGTCTCCTTTGCCTGGAATCCACCAAAGCAGACCAACGATGATGTGCAGAACATTTCTTGGTACAAGTATTTATTCAAACACTAAAATAATTTCCTCAGATTTGTTTCATACTATTTATTTACTATCACTGTTTCCAAGACACCTATATAGGCGTTTTTTTGTTTTTTTTTAATATGACCTATTGGGATGTAGCTGAAATCAACATTTCTTCCAGGGACCCCATAGAAAGCCATGTGTTACCTGTCCAGGTGTGCTCAGCTGAAGTTCTTTCGCCGGCTAGAGGTTCTCGGCCAATCACAGTGGAGCCTATTCAGCATGCGGCGCCGTTGATTTGCTAGTCGCAGCCCCGCCCACCCTTGGACCTTTAAATCTCAGGTGCCGGCTGGTTTTTTCTTTCTCTCCGCTTGCTCAGGATCTTTGCCTATCGCGGGTGTGTTGTGCCTTTAATCATGGGAAAGGAGAAGATCCACATCAACATCGTGGTCATTGGCCATGTCGATTCCGGGAAATCCACCACCACCGGGCATCTCATCTACAAATGCGGCGGCATCGACAAGAGAACCATCGAAAAGTTTGAGAAGGAGGCTTCGGAGGTAAGTAGATGAACGTTGTCCTGGCCGATCTCGTGTCCGAAGGTGCGGCTCCATCAACCGGCTCTTGTGTTCTGTCCGTAGATGGGGAAGGGTTCCTTCAAGTACGCCTGGGTCCTGGACAAGCTGAAGGCCGAGCGGGAACGTGGTATTACCATTGACATCTCACTGTGGAAGTTCGAGACAGGCAAATATTACATCACCATTATTGATGCTCCAGGCCATCGGGACTTCATCAAGAACATGATCACTGGCACCTCCCAGGTAAATGACTTGCATCGGCACTCAGGAACTTTCACCTAGATCAGGCTGGCTCTGGGGTGTGCTGTGCCTGAGACTTTCATACCAGGATATCTCCTCAAAGGAATCCCACATTTGTTTACTAAGCAATATTTCAAGCTTTTATGTCTTGATACAAATCTGGAGGTTGATTGGCTAGAATGCAATCACTGAGTCTTGTCCCAAATCACTGGCCTCCACCAATTGTAGAAACGAAATCAGGTGTCTTCTACATGCATATGCTAGGTTGCTGTCACACTGAGCAGTGTCTGAGTCAACCAAATCCTTTTCAGATGGTACCAACACAAGTTTCCAATTTAAAAAAAACAAATGTTGCTGTTGGAGCTATTGGGATGAAAATGACTAAGATTGTTCATCTGCCCATAGAAACGTGTGTGTGTGTGTGTGTGTGTGTGTGTGTGTGTGTGTTGGAGCCATACATTTTTGTATGGCTATAATTGCACCAAAATGGTGCAGGACCCTTTTTTGGGTGTGCATTAGAATGGTATCGCATAGGTATTCACACCTATATGATCCCATTCTGTACTTCAGGGTATTAACTTTAACATGCACACCTGCAGCAGTTTGCATGAATGGGGTGCAATTCTGATGCAGTGCAGAATTTTCACTGAAAATGCTGTGAATTCTGCAATGCATCAGTGTGAAGCAGGGCTAAATCTGAAGGAGATATTGGGATGAAAATGACTAGGATTGTCCATCTGCCCATAGATGGATCGAACATTTGAAGTCTAATCCTGGGTTCACATGTGCAGTGTGGTAAATCACATGCAATTTATGGCTATAATCGCACTGCACCGAAAACATGCAGGACCCTTTTTTGGGTCAACATTAGTTGGATTGCATAGGTATTCACACCTATGCAATTCCCATTCTGCTTTTCGGGGTGTTAACTTAACATACACACCCGCAGCAGTTCGCATGAACAGGGTGCGATTCTGGTGCAGTATTTGCACTGAAAATGCTGCGAATTCTGCACCGCGTCAGAGTGAACCAGGGCTAAATCTGTTGAAGGAGATATTGGGATGAGTGACTGAGATTAAGCTGCCCATAGATGGATAGAACATTTGCAGTCTTAAGAAGATTCATACAAAACATTCAAATGTTTGAAAGACTTCATTTTTATCTTTACATTTTCCATTTTGGAATGTGTTTACCACAGGGTGGATTTGATTTAAATTACTAGTCAGTAAGGCTTGATTTAAATCCTAGTTTTCTACATAGACTAACTCTTACTGGTATAACTTTAATATGCAAGTAGATGAAGATTTTTAGAATAACAACTTTTCATATTAGTTTTTTTATCCCCAGTTTAATAGGTTAATCATTCATATTTGGACAACTTTTCTGTTGTACTTAGGCAGGAGAAAAATAATACCTTAATAACAATTTAAATAGATTTATTCAACTGAAACAATAACCTTACAGCATATGTTATTTGCTTAAACACACATCCATGTTTGTTAACTAATTTTGGCTAAACAAATATATTTTAAGAAACTTAGACTGTCAGCCCCTTCCACCTCACACTTAGTTTCACTTTCTTCTTGTGCAGATCTATTCCACTCCAAACAATCAGAAAAATATTGTTTCTATTCACTGAACTTCTTGAAACTTGGCACTGAAGGGGTTGATTCTGTATTCATAGGTTTGTAGAAGTTAGGATTAAGGTCTTTTTCTTAACTCTGTTCATGTTATAACATTTTTGCTGTGAAGAAGAGGCATGTGATCTCTGCTGAGTCAAATTCAGTTTTGAGAATTGCAAAAGTAAACCAAGCATCTGTGATATCTTGTAGGCAGAGAAACTGCCCAATAATCTTACAAAAACCTCTGGAAGAGCATTACACTGTGAATGGATTAATGGAATTTATTTACCAAAAACATTAAACATATACAGCCTTATTCTACATAATTAAAAAACTAATCTTTCTTTCATGATGGAATAACCTTTTGGATGGTAATATATTTTCCTCAAAGCATTTTATTTAAAAAAATCCAATTTTTAAATCAAACTTTTTTTTTTTTTTTTTTTTTTGTATGCTGCATGTCTACTTATGGTGAAGGTGGTATGATCACTGCAGAACTGATTCAGGTGTCTTCAGTCTCTCCATAAACATAGGACTTGCTTTAAATTGTTAAAGTATAACTACAGGCGGCATTTTTTGTGTAGGGTGGAGCTGGATTAGAACCCCTGCCAGGTTTTTATTGCTGTCTGTGTCTCCATTAAGGAGATTCATGATTTGTCCTGTTTACCATCCTCATTGAAAGTAAAGAGAATCCCACATTTTGGGTTGTCCCCAGAAAAGTAAGGGGAAATCTTCCAATGGGGACATTAGTTCTAGTGACCTGGGTGTCACCAAGTGATTCTTTTGTGCAGGGATTTCCCCTTGCTTCATCCTTTAGCTATGGGACAGGAACTGAAGAGAGATCTCCTCAATGGGACAAATGTTACTGCTGTTCTAGCCCTCCCTTACTCTATCTAAAAGGAACACGTTTTGCCAATACTTCTACTTAAGCCTGGCCATACATTATGCAGTTTTTGTTTTTTTTTGTTTTTTCTTTAGATTTAACACAATCCTGTAAGACTAGGCCAGTTATGAACACTTTAAACTTGTATAATCTGCCAGGTCCTTGCACTACATAGTTTAAGGTAAATCTAAAGGAAATTGTATAATATATGGCCAGCTTAAGTCCTCACTAGCTCTTGATTGCATAACACCTGCCTTGTTTGGTGGGATTAAACTCAAATGCAGAATTGCAGTTTAACAATTCTTGGATGTGGTGGCTGTATCTTGTTAGGCTTTTTTGCCTATTGATCCTGCAAGTATATCCAACTCTTACAGACCAAGCAGTGCTATGTGGTTTGGTTTTTTTTTTTTTAGTTTTTTTTTAAAAAACTGGGATGAGGCAAACCATTTAGGTGTATTTTTGTCATAGTGGTAAATGACTGTTACTCAGTTCTCTGGCATTCTTAGAGGAGAGTTCTCCTGTGCCTTTTTATGAAGCAGTGTAGATTGCTTCTCTGAATCTAGTAAGTGATCTACAAGTGCTTTGAACGCTGGATAATGGCTGTTACTATAATCTTGCAAGAAACACAATTTACTAAACGGCAGTAAATTATCACTTCGTTTGCGGTTCCCCTGATTCTCCAGCTCTGGGCTGGAGAATCTGGAGGAAAAACAGATTGCCAGTGAAGGGCTGAGATCGCTCCTTCATACACTGGACATGTGTGGTGAGATGATCAGCGGAGAACATGTTCTCTGCTGATCATCTGTTTCCTAAACCACTAATCTGAGATCAGCAACTATCTTCAGGATCACTGCTGATTTTTCATAAAAACACCATAATATTGGCCGGTGGTGTTTTGTAATGATTGGCTTTTCTTCATATATGGGAAGCAGTGTGGGGTTTTTCTGGAGTTTAGCTTAAATTTAAGACTGTTACTATAGCATTACACCTCTTTCCCAGACAGAAGTTAACCAAATCTGTCTTTCATCCATAATAAAGGCACCCTAAAACAGGATGTTGCAGGCCAGATCATCAGTTGGGAAAGGCTGGAATAATGCAGCTGCCACATTTTAAGCATTTGGAAGCTGTGAGCTATTTAATATTGCTGACAATTAAATAGGACAGTTTATCTGACTTTGTTCTTGCAAAATGCAATATACCAATAACATGCAGAATTCTGAGATTATACTCCTGTAGTAATGCTTACATGTGGTGTGTGGGTTTTTTTTTTTTCTGAATCAAAATGCATGTATTCAATTGGCCCTAGTTTACACCTGTGCAGAAATAAAGTAGAACATGCTGTAATTTTGTGCACAGAACCATACTGGAACATGGTGAACTGTAGACAAAAATGTATCAAGTGTTTGTAGTGTGAACTGGCCCTAAAACAATGTTTGTGCAATATTGCACAGAGGGATCACTTCATACTTTGGCAGTCCTCTGCTGGTTCTGTGCTATGGGGGCACCCATACAGGTGCACTCCTGAGTTGGGCTGTGTGCATTCATAGATGCACACAGAGCTGCACACCCCTTGCCCTATGGCTCCTACTGCTGTCTGTATCCAGAGGGCAGGGCTTCAACAAAGGCAGTGCTGTATTGGGTAAGTGGGGCATTTTTACTTTAATGCAAGGAATACATAAAGGTAAATGTTTAAACATTTTAAGCATTGTTTGGCTCATGTTTTGTAAGTCAATATAAATTTGGTACATCTAACAGTCCCCCATACCAATTAACAGTGCTGCTGTCCAAAGGTCTCTATTGCTCCTGGTTCTGAGTGTAGGCTCACTAAAGTGTTACTGGCAGGATCACCAGGTGACCATAAATGGGAGGAAAAGTCCAAATAATGCTGCCACAGCTTTTTTTAACTATTGGTAAGCTAGAGTATGAAATGTTTGGGTTTAATACGGCTTAAGTCTGCTGTGTGAAGGTGGTCTTTGCTTCAAAGCCTACATGATACAAGTTGGTTGTGCATGTGAATGGACCTTAACATTTTTAACAAAGCTGTTCAACTGCTAAAATGGACTACTGCAAACTCAATCATATTCTTCTTGCACTGATAAAGAAATGCTGCTTTTGAATCTCCTAGTAATTTTTTTTTTTTTTTTCTTTTTCTGTCCTAGGCTGACTGTGCAGTACTTATTGTAGCTGCTGGTGTGGGTGAGTTTGAGGCTGGTATCTCAAAGAATGGTCAGACCAGAGAGCATGCCCTTCTTGCTTTCACATTGGGAGTCAAACAGCTAATTATTGGTGTCAACAAAATGGATTCCACAGAACCACCTTACAGCCAGAAAAGGTTTGAAGAAATAACCAAAGAAGTTAGCTCATACATCAAGAAAATTGGATACAATCCAGCTACAGTAGCATTTGTGCCAATCTCAGGATGGCATGGAGACAACATGTTGGAGGCTAGCAAGAAGGTAGGTTTTTTGATTGTTCAGCACTGTCATGGTTACACAGGATTGCAGATTTTGCAATCAGAAGCTGTCTAGCCTGTACTGTCATACCTGCAAGCAGTGGAGAGAAAGCTGCAGGGGTTTCAAATCTCCAGACCTGTGACGTGGCGTTCTTGTACCCTGCACAGGTTCTTTGCAGGGAGATTTCTTGCACTGATCCTGTGTGAACTCACTGAGCGTGGGTTCTGACTGTCAGGGAAACCACATGTGATTTTTGTCAGGAATTGCACTTCATTCCTGTTCAAATTGCATGCTATTCTTTGCCGTTTGCTTTGTGCCCATCTTGTATAGACGCAAATTGCACCACAAAGTATCGGACTTGCCGATTTTAAAGTATTGGTGCATTCCTATTTTTAGCACACTGAATGTAGTGGTCAAAATTGACATTTTAATTCTAGCACATTTATGCATATTCTACTTTTTGTAAAACTGTAACCGATTACTACTTGGTCATTTCAGTATGCAATTGCTTTTTTAACTACTTCCCATCCAGCCATTGAATCTAAACTGCCAGATGGTGGCCATGCAGGGGTGGGTTGCCATTCATAAATGGCACCCACCATTTTGGACTGTGCTCCCTGGGAGTGCATGGCACTGCAATCCAGTGCCTGCTGTGTCCTCCAGACACAGCAGAACACTGATCGCTGTACAGGACCTCTGAGGTCCTGATCATTTGATCACTGATTGGCCAATCAGCGATCACCTGACTAGGTGTAAGCAAGATGTCACTTCTGACATTGCTTACTATATGTGAAATCTGATCAGATCACATGGTACAAGGCTATTCACAACAGCCTTGTACCATGTGACAAGCTGTGACCAATCACAGCTCACAGTATTTCTCAATGGCTGCAAAAATGCAGCCAGAGGAGAAATTATTGCTTTTACAGCCTTTGTGTGTAAAAGCAATCGTAGGAAGAAAAATCTTTATCACCCCCAAGCAGTGTAACTATGGTGGCACTGTACTGTTAGGGTGATGGTATGTTAAACATAATAAAATGTAAACTTTTTAAGTTTTGGTTTATTTTACTAAAGAGAACTGATTTTTCTTCAAGATTTATGAAGAGATTGTTTGCTAAATTTTATAAAACACTTTTCAAAATTTTTGGACTTTAATTTATATAGCAAAAATAAAAATCCCAGTGGTGAATACAATTTTCTGTCTCATGCTAAAAATCATATGGGTACAGTGTTGCATGACCGTGCAACTGTCATTCAAAGTGACAGCACTGAGCTGAAAATTGCCCTGGACAGGGGATAAGTGTCCAGACATGAAGTGGTTAACTATAAAGTAGTTCACTGAATCGTAAATTCTTATACTTTTGTAGTGAAAAGGGGAATACTGTAAGCCCAAGTCCAGTTTCAGGTGTTAAATTGGTTTAAACCAGTGTGATCTGTGCATAAATTTCAGCTGCATTGTAGTGATAAGACAGTATATCAAGGTCTTGGATTAAAACATATCTGATCTTTCAGATGGCATGGTTCAAAGGATGGAAGATTGATAGGAAAGAAGGAAATGCCAATGGAGTTACACTGCTTGAAGCTCTGGATTCCATTATTCCTCCCAGCCGACCCACAAACAAACCACTGCGCCTCCCTTTGCAAGATGTGTACAAGATTGGAGGTAAGTGTATGGGAAAATATAAATGTCACTAGTATCATAGATGTGTCCATGTACTATAACTTCATTGTTTGGTTTGTTTTAGGCATAGGCACAGTTCCAGTTGGAAGAGTGGAAACTGGTGTCTTGAAGCCAGGCATGGTTGTGACATTTGCTCCTGGAAACGTGACTACAGAAGTAAAGTCTGTTGAAATGCATCATGAGGCTTTACCAGAGGCCTTACCTGGTGACAATGTAGGATTCAACGTCAAGAATATTTCTGTAAAAGATATCAGGAGAGGCAATGTAGCCGGTGATAGCAAGAGTGACCCTCCAATGGAGGCTGGATCTTTCACTGCTCAGGTAACTATCAGAATGATGGACATAAATTATGAAGTGTGCTTATTACATAGATTACCAAGGATGTTTGGGAAGACTTTCAGTCTACCTGAACCAGATACTTATTGGACCTGTGCCGAAAATAACTTCAGGCTGTGTTGGAACTTATTCCTCCACTCACATTTGTTCTGTGTTGCTTGTGGGCCAGATTCATCAATCTTATGTGAATTTTATTATTTGTTTGCTAATCAATTCAAAGGACTCCTAAAATGGAGTTGAACTGCATCTAGGCACCACAAAGCAAAAGTACCACTTCATTTTGTGATCAAAGCAAGCTCTGCCATCCATGTCTCCATGCATTATTTTGCCAAGAAATCACCTAGAAAAAAGGCCTTCCTAGCATTCCTGACTGACAATATTGAGTTAAGGAGCAGATTCATGTAGCATTTACATCCTGGAATCCATCTTCCCTTGGTTCAGGCATGCAAGCAGGAGTGCATGCTTGGCTGAGAAATTCCCCCCCCCCCCCCCCCCCCCTCAAATCAGACTCCTGGGATGCATGACCTCTGCCTAGGCAAGAAACTGGGAAGTAACTGAAGAAACAACCATTTAGTTCAAACAAGTGTACTTTCCTAGTTACTATTGCTAGTAACATATGGATAAATGGTCAGAGTGAAGTTCACTTTAAGCTAGCCATAGGTGGTTCAAATCTCAGCTAGTCCCTCTATGGGCAGGCTGATTGTACCCAGTTTGTTGTAAGGCTTGGGTACAACCAGCCTGTCCAATTTTTCATGTGAATTTTTGTCAGCAGCTATAGCCGCTATTAGTTTTCCAAGCAAGGACAGATCCCCTTGCTAGAATGTGTGCGACATAAAAAAAAAAAAAAAAATGCATTTATATGCAGCATTGTTTGTACACTGCATATGGACAACTAGTGTGGTGTGTGTGTGGGTTTTTTTTTTTTTTTTTTTAAACCTGCATTGATCCATGCTGGAAATCTAATGGCTTATTCCAGTAGAGCAGGAAAGGGGCTGGTTTGAGCTGACACATTGCAGAAAAATACCAGTTTATGGGGGTTTTTTTTTTCTTAATAGAAGCTTATTTCATGCAGAGAATCATTTTGGCTTTAAAATTCACTGATTTGATCTAAAATGGGACTGGTTTCCACTAACCTTTTTGTCTTGCAGGTTATCATTCTCAATCACCCTGGAACAATCAATCCTGGCTATGCCCCAGTATTGGATTGTCACACACAGCTCACATAGCCTGTAAGTTTGCAGAGTTGAAGGAAAAGATTGACCGTAGATCAGGAAAGAAACTTGAGGACAACCCCAAGAGTTTGAAGTCTGGAGATGCTGCCATTGTTGAGATGGTTCCTGGAAAGCCAATGTGTGTGGAATCATTCCAAGAATACCCTCCACTTGGTGTGTACTTTTTTTTTTTTTTTTTTTTTTTTTTTCTTTTTTTTACAAAACTAACTTAAGTGGGATTTCTTTGTGGCAAAGAACATTGTGCAAGCCTAAACACAACCTTGTACCATTAGGCCTTGGTTAGCATGGTAAAGATCTGAAGCAAAGGCTTCAGAACTAATCTAATTCCTAATGGTTAAATACCTGTAACACTGTCCTGTGTGGGTTTTAGACTGGATTTTGTGCTGATAGTTTGACAAAGGATGAGGTAAAGCATGAATTCCCACACTCTCGCTATATAAAAGTTGTAATTTCTTTGCAAACAGAATAAGGGTTTAATCAGTAGATTTATGTATCAAACTTGGTGAAAGTGGTTTGGGTGCTCTGACAAGTCAGACTAACTTTATTTATTTTTTGTCTTTATAGGTCGATTTGCTGTTCGTGACATGAGGCAGACGGTGGCTGTTGGTGTCGTTAAAGCTGTAGATAAGAAAGCAGCAGCTGCAGGCAAAGTGACAAAATCTGCCATTAAAGCGAGCAAGAAATGATCTTTTCATTAGAGAAATTAATTCTAAGTTATTCTATGCTGTAAACAGTTAAATAAATGGGCAAAAACTATACATGGTGGTCCAATCTTTGTGTATTGGCTCTTAACCTTATAGGCTAGTTCTAAAAACCATAGAAAATGTCACAAATAGTAGCATACAAAGCATAGATAAAAACATCCGATCACAAATAGAGGAAAAAAGAATGCAAAATGGCATTAGAATGAAGATGTCAAGATGCAACTGGCTCAGGGGCAATTGATGGGATGTAGTCCCACTACTCAAATAGGACTGTGCTGCAGAGATGGCGAGTCAGCAAGCAATGTGATCTACCAGTTGCTTGGCTGCAACTGACATGTTGCCAACCTGTTAGAGGCATTAAAGAAACTTCACCCTAAGCAGGAAGATCTGCATTTAAGACGCTTTATAGATCTTTGATTTGGGGGAGGAAAGTACCTAGTTTTGGCAGGTACCTGCTTCCACTTGTCTACGTGGTTCCACTGAAGTTTCCACAATGGGGGAGTTTTTACAAAATGGTACACACAATCTGTTGTAGCTGTGCATATTAAATCTGCTAAGTGCAGCTTGTTGAATTTAAGCTTTGACAACCTAGAAGCTGATTGGCTATCATGCATGGCTGCACCAGTGTTTACCAGTTTTAGTAAGTACCCCCCCCCCCCCCCCATTGTGTCCATGTGCATAATGCCTTTTTTAGAGGTTTAAACTGTTCTAAACCTGTGCTCAGAGGAGCTTGCTGGTGGAATTTACAGTGCATAGCCATAAATCTATTATAGTGGATAGACTGCATGAATATTCTAGCCAATAGAATGTGTGTTTATCTGTATATGCTTCTAAACCCCATACACCTCTAAATGCATAAACTTAATTTTATGCTGGATTTTTCTGCCAGATCCTGGAAGATGGATCCAAATGCTGTATTATATGCTGATCATACTCCATCACTATGGTATTCATTTTCTGTAAAACTGATTCTGGTATTCTCAATCTCCCGCTTCTGTCAATGTCCCCAGTGCAGCTGGGAATTTTGCAGAGCATTGTTGGCAGCTACTGCACATGCTCAGTTTTCAGTGAGTTTCTATGCTGAGCATTTCCTTCCTATCACATATGAGCAACCAATGTGACTCTCAATTGAAGTCACATAGGAGTATACACAACAGTAAATGACAGACCACTCCCTCCATGCCCGCAAACCAGCCTTTCTCAACACAGCCCTGAAATAACTTTCTAGTCTTGGGAACCCCTGCTAAAAATTACTAGATGGTCAGTGGGAAGAATGCGCCTTACACTTGTGGTCATTGAAAAGTTACCCTTTTACAGATTGGTAAAAAGATCATTGGTGTCAGAAGGAGCCTGAGAGGCAGAAATTGCTGGAGGAACTCCTGGTTGAGAAGCTGAGCTAAACATAATGGGGGTGGGCTATTACATCTTGGATGATGTAGGCTTCATCTCCCTGTAATTCTAAGATACAGGCTAGAGGGAGGTGACACAGCCTGTGACTGGCAGAAATCCATCCACACCATGTTACCGAAGATTGCATAAAATAACTATATACTATATTAATTTCAAATAATTGTAGGATTAAAAATGGTTTGTTTATATTTACCCTGTAAATCAAAGGCTTTTTTTTTTTTTTTTTTTGACATGTAACAAGCAGCAGAGGACTAGAAGCTCCTGCTGCTTATGTTTTGCTACAGCAAGCCTGGGGAAAAAAACTAGGTCTTAAAATATTAAGCATGCAGTTTTTGATTTGCATTGTCCCTTCTTTAAGACACAATGGTGTAGCTATAGGGATCAAAGGGGTCACAATGGGGCCCTCACTCATGCTGCTGAGAGCCTGCATGGCCTCCCTGTCAGTCCCCCTTCCTCCAATGTATAGGGACTCTATCGATCTTGACCCTGCTCATGCTTCATGTTACTGGGGGGGAAAGCACCTGCCGCATCACCCTGCATAGGTAATTCCGTAAACTCAGAGCTTGGATCAGACAGGTGCTGTCCCAGGCCCTCTGAATTTCCAGTTTCACCTACACAGGGTGAAGAAGCAAGCTTTCCCCCAGCAGCACATGCTGCTTAGCCACCCATCCTTCTCAGCCATGCTCAACTGTGAATGTGCACAAAATGTGGGGGCATGCACAACACACTCTGAGCTGCCAGGTGAAAGTGATGGGCTTGCATGTGAATCTGGAGGCTGGGCCCTCTGAGATTCCTTTTAGCTCCAGGCCAAACTGATGTGCAGCAAATGCAGCAATTCCTCTGCATTTCCTGCACTGCATAGCAATCACACTGTGATCTGCTGCAGGTATCAATGGAAAGTTAATACCCCAAAAGCAGGTTGCAAATGCAATTCATTTGCCTGAACCAGATGGCATGGGTATTTATACTCAAGCAATCTGGTTCCAGTGAGAATAAAACAAAGCTGCCTGCAATTTTTTGATGCAGATGAGGTGCGCTTTGAGCCATTCAAAATGAATGGGCTCAAACTACACCCCACAGAATCGCATGTGTTTTGTGCAGGAATCTGGTGCAATACCTATGCGGTTTACAGTGTGAACTTATTCATACACTCCACTTGTGGGAGTATCTTGATGCTTGGTGGAAGCAGTAGGTGGTAGTGGGGGGGGCCCTATGTCAACTTTTGCATCAGGGCCCACAACCTTCAGGTTAAATCTAAGATAGCTTACAAAAAGGTTAGCTTACATTTGAGTAAATGTTTTCTGACATTTTGGGACAGGGTTACTAAGGCCTGTGGTTTGAAGCTGAACTCTGAGCATAATTATATTTTCTAAATAAGTGTGCTGACTAGTTCTCCTCCTTTTCTCTTTAATGTATATTACCCAATAACCACTTGCCTACCAGGCACTTTTACCCCCTTCCTGCCCAGGCCAATTTTCAGCTTTCAGTGCTGTTCCACTTTGACAATTATGTGGTCATGCAACATTGTACCCATATGAAAATCTTTTTTTTTTTTTTTTTTTTTTTTCACAAATAGATTTCTTTTGGTGGTATTTAGTCACTACTGGGATTTTTATTTTTTACACAAGTGCTAAATTTTATAATAGAAAGCTAAAAAAATTTTTCAAACAGGTAATTTTTCTCCTTCACTGATGTGCTTTTGAGGAGGCTGCACTGATAGGCAGCACTGGTGGACACTGATGACGTGGGGCTGATGGGCTGCACTGGTGGGCATTGATGAGGAGGCACTGATGATGCTACACTGATGTGCAGCACTGATGGGCAACAGTGGCTGGCGGCACTGCTGGGCACTGATCATCAGTGCCAATCTGCTGTGACATTTGCCAGTTATAGGCAGTGCTTTCCTCATGCTGTGACAGCATGAGGAAAGTGCTGCTGATAACTGGCAACTGTATTTACTTTGTGATCTGCTGTCATGGGACACAGCTGATCACGTGGTAAAAGGCTGCTGTGATTGGCCTTTTACCTAGTCATGTGATCAGCTGTGTCTGTAGGACACAGAGATCGCTGACAGCAACGGAGGCGCTCCCCTGTGGGGCACGTTCTTGGGAAGACATCATATGACGCACTGTAGCCGTCATTTGGCTATAGCACGGTTGTAAAGTGTTTAAACCGCCTTCCAGTGTGGAAGTGCCTGTAGTTCTATTGAGGTGACTGGCCACTGTTGCTTATGTGCACTAGGTGGCGAATTTAAATAAATCTGAAATCACAAAACAAAATTACGTCTGAAATTCACATCAAATTAAAAAACAAGAATAGAACAAAATAGAAAAAAATAAAGGAACAGAAAATAATAGAATTGAAAAAAATAGAATAGAAAAGGATTGAGAAACAAAACCGGATAGAAAGAAAAAAAAAAAATAGATTAGAATAGAAAATAAAGGAATAGACTAGAAAAAAAAACAATTGAATAGAGCAAATTAGAATATATCCATTTTCCAAAATTAGAACTTCAAATAAAATAAATTCAAATGATTCAATATTTTTCGATTTGGTCAAATTGAATTCAATTTGAATCGAATTCGAATAAATGAATTCTGGGAATTAAACTAATTTAACTAAACAAAATTATTTAAAAGAGGGATTGAAATTAAACTTTTTTTCATTCTACACATGTCTACTGCATATCTTTGTGTACCGTAGTGCTACATAAGAATGATGGGGGGAGGGGTGTGGCTTGATGGGTCATATGATCACACTCTCTGTGCTTCCTCCAACTTTTATCTGGCACAATCATCCATTTGGCACTAATCTTGGATGATTCCAAGGTGCTTGATCGCTTATTCACCTTCCTCTGGTGTCTTGTGGAAGGATTTGAGA